TTTCTTAAAGGCACTATTAAAATTTCAATAAATATACCAAAGGTAAACAATTTTTTCGGATATTAAATATATAGTTAAATAGTTTAATGACTATTATATTTTCAAAAGAAAAAATATAAATTTTTTAAAATTATTTTTAATTATTTTTTGCGTTTCCTACTTCTCATATAAAAATTTAGTTCTATACCGTTTTCGTTGAAAATTATCTATGTATGTGTTCAAACATTAACGTCTCTTCTGACGGTTTTAGAAGACAGACGGGATTTCTCAGTGCGCCTGTTGGTATGCTAAGTGCCGTGACAACTGAATTCCGGTTGATAAAAGCTGACAGCTAATGGCTTTGAGGTTTCCGGTGATTGACTAAAATATAAGTGAACGCCTAAGCGTATGCAACATATAAATGTATGGCGTTGTAAAATTGTGAGATACACCCATATGAACGGAATGAGTTCATGTGAATACCGAGATGCATATAATGAATAATGAAATATTTATGTTCATATTCATGTAACAAGCAGTAAAAAAATAACGAAAAATTAAAAAAATATAAAAACAATATAATATACCTTTTTAACTGCTCATATCAACTAACTAAAACCCGAAAAAGAAAATTAACGATCACTAAATGGCGCAATTGTGAAAGAAAAAGTTTGTTTTTACTTTTCTGTACTTTTTAAAAATTTTAAAACGGTTAAGTAGAACTTTTGTAATATTGACAAAACGTTTTGAGAAAATAACTTTCGAAAATAAGGCCACGAAATAATAAAAATTTTGTCAAATTCTTCTAAAGACAAATTATTTGAAAAGAAAAGCTTCAATATTACTCAAAATTTTTACTTCTTTTGATTTTTGTTCTAAAATACCTTCTTAAAATATGAAAATTGTCAAAAATACTATTATTGCTGCCCTTGTAAAGAAAATTAAATTTTTATAAATTAAATATGTGTTACTATGTAGATTTATTTTTAAGCATAATATATTTCTATGTACATACAGCCAATCTATGAACATTTTGTAAGCCATTAGAACTCTTCAGCTGTTATCCTTTGTTTGTGCGTATTGGAATGAACTCACTCGTCCTTGAAAAATTGCTTGCATCTGCAGGTAAGACACATATAAGGCTGGCGGTTTATAATAATTTGTTCGTGAATATATGTATACTTACCTTCGTAAATACATACACAACTATACATATAGGCAGATGTACGAATTAGCTACACAGATTTATAGCAACAAAAAGGCTTGCTACCATTTGACATGTGTACTCGCACCTATTACCTAATAAATACACATGCATGTAAATATATATGTATTTACCTCATAAGTACATCCTTTTATATGTACATATATTTGTATTTTAATAACATTGTGCGAAAAAGAGAAGAAATCAGTTGTGTGCAGCAAATAAATCAAATAAAAGTCGGCGCGCATCGACTTCATTGACATTTAGAGAGCAACAGGCTGAGTTTAAAGCAAGGATGCCAACTAATTGTAAAAATAAAATAACACAAACGAAGAGTCAGCTTAGCCTTTATTAAACAACTTGTTTCCGGTCGTTCAGCTTGTATGGCAGCTATATGCTCTAGTGCTCCGATCTAAATAATTTCTTTGGGGATTGTAGCATTGTCTTGGATAATAATCTGTGCCAAATTTCATTAAGATATATCGTCAAATACAAGAGTTTTCCACACAAGGACTTGATGCGGTTCGTTCAGTTTTTATAGCACCTATCATCAGTGGTTCCTTGAGGGACTACAAGGTTCGTTCCGTTCCATGCAAGAAAGCTGTGCGTGAATTCATCAAACACCAGCCGAAATCATCATTGAAACTCATGGAAATGGAATTGAACATCTTCAAAACATCAATTTATCGCATTTCGATCGAACATTTGGGCTTATGATGCGGTTTGTTCCGCACAAATTGACTGACGACCAAAAATTGCTCCAACATTCGAAGGGCATCATTAAAGTGGTCAAAAATCACATATTCACCTGATATGGCACCGTGCGACTTCTTCCATTTCGGAAAAATGCATTTGCCCATGAAAGGAAAGCGTTGTGCGGACGTGTTTTAAGTCCTCGTATTTCATTCAATTATGTTTGTAAGCCTACTGTGTACCTATGTGCCTTGCGTTGTTTTGCAATATCCAGCTGAAGATACAGTCCGACTTTAGTACTATTTCGCCATTTGCATATTTTGATGCTTGACCTAAAAAAATGCTATCGAAACTTTAAAGGAACAGCAGCCATCATTGGGACAAACCTGAATGGAATACATTTTGCAATAAGCTCTCATCTGATCTTTACCTAATATAGCACTTCATATTTCTTTTGTCATTTACTTGAAGGAAACGTCGAATACATTATACACATTATACACAATGAGCTGAGTCGATTTATCCATTAACGACTGCCTGTACTGTATGTGTGAACTAATCCCTCAAATTTTGGGACTTTTAACTGAAATTTCGCACACATCTGCTGCTCATTTGTCGGAAGCGTCGATATTGGACCACTAAAGAATTAAGCTGTCATACAAACTGAAAGATCGGAATCAAGAGCTTGTATGGAAAACTGTTTTTTTCTTTGCTGACAGTGAGCTCAAAGCTCTTCAAGGAGTGTATTAAACTATTAAACTTGTCTGAGTGCCTGGCAATAGCGGAATCGTAGGAAACTGTAAATCCGAGTAAAGGGCACACTTACCCAAATTACGTTTGGTGTGAATGGAGGATTTTGCCCTGTTTCCGTGCACTCGGGTTCTGGACCTACGAGCATCGCGCGAGCTCAGCACCTACATTTTGACCCAGAGTGGAACGTAAAAGGTCTATTGAACTACTAGTTTTAGCAAGGCTCACATCGCCGGAATGATAGGTGTCATATGGACAGTGTCCTATAGGCGCTCACGCGGTGAGGCTGAAGATTTTTGAGATCGCAACTTGTCAAATATCTAGATACCTTCTCCTTCAATGTCCAGATTTCATGATGCGTATTCGTTGCCATATTTTCCACGAACCCGACGAACTAACTGGAGTAGATATTAGCCGGCTCAATAAATTTGTGGCTGGCTCTAAGCACTGAGTAGATATATGACTACCTTTTTGATCCAAACCGGTTCTGGCCGACAAGCGTCTCTAGAAATCCAAGTGAAATTATCCATGATCTCAGAAATCAGGATACTTACCTAACCTAACCTAACCAATTGCGCAAAGAAACGACATGAATCGAACAAATGGTTCAGTTCGGATTACTATTGCATACATACTCGTACAGCTGTCATACAAATTGACCGATCAAAATCACGACAACTTTTGATCCGACAAGATTTATGTAAAGGCTAAAATAGCTTTGGTGCTGCCAAAGTTGGTGTTTTTTCTTATTTTCTTACACATTTTTAGAGCAGCTGAACTCAAGAACTAGTAATGTTAGCCTTTAAAAATGACAGCTGAAGAGTTCGCGTCTCCTTCAGTTAAAGTTAAACGCACTGCGCTTCAAGGATTGACAGAACTAGAAAAGTTACGCCATCCACTTAGGAAGTAACGTTCAGTCTATTTTAGTTGCAACTCTTTGAAAGTCATCGAAAATTTTTTATATAAACATACGATAGTTTATATTGCATACGATCATATTATATTATTAAGTCAGAAAGTCACACACTTAATCCACTGCTCCTACATGGCAACTCTGTTCGCCTTCTGCCCAGCAGAACAAACCAACCGATCGCACGCTCCAAAAGCAGACAGGTAGGCAATGCACACACCTTTGTGCCATTGTTTATTATTGTCTTTTACCGGCAAATAAAGCGAATAGCAGTGGTCAGCCGATCGCGCATTTACGCGCTGCATCTCTCCGCTTGCTCTCACCTGAGCGTACGCTCTCTTGCGCTCTAAGTCGGTGGAGGACAACCAAGTGCTGAGCGAATATTTTCCGGCGCGCAATGTCATTCAAGCGACTTCACAGCTGTTGCTTCCATGCGCTCCGGCTGCAGAATAAGCAGGCCGCCAGCCGACAGCCGAAACCACCAGCCGCCAATCACCGTCTCCGGCGCTCACATGTGCGCTTAGTTGGCTAAAGTGCTTTTTGCTGATGAATTTGGATTTTTAATATCCAACTAAAGCTTGTTTGCGGCAGACGTGTGTGTGGACGCGAGTGCGCCCTACTACAATAAAAGCAAATTATACATACTTACAACAACAATATAGCAATAAATAAATAAAATATTTAACAATACGGACACGCAATTTCCAAGTGGCAGACAAGTGGGCACTTTTCGGTTCGCATTTGTGATGTGTTATAAAATAATTGTTTTTGGTGTTTTCAATTATGGAGTGAAAAGTTGCACAAAAGAAAATACGAAACAAAATGTACGGGATTATTTGAAAATACATAGAAAAAAGACTTTCTAAGTTTATTGATACAACAACAACACGGAAAAATCATGGTAAATGCAAAGAAATTGGAAAAACGAAACAACAAAAGTGTTTAAAGAAAATAGTGTGTAAGAGAATTTGCAGAAAGTTGTTATAATTTCGATAAAATTGTGAAACGGATTAAAACATAATTATTTAAAATATTGTGAAAGAATTTTTTTATAAAATTATAAAACAAAAATTGTAAGTGTACTTGTTGTACAAGAAAAAGATAGACTTTTATGAAAATTTCAAAAAAAATTTTAAGATCTATTTAAAAAAAAAATTTTTTTCAGTGTAATTTTTCCAAAAAAAAAATTGTCCACTTTTAATTTCTGAAAATATTTGTAAGAACTACCGTTACTTGTAATAAGCAAAAATACTGAAATCAATTGTCAACTGTGTAAATGTCAAATTTTGAGCGATAATCGTGTTTATTGCTAGGAAATGCGCAGTTATAACAACACAAGGCTTCCTCGTTTGTGTGTGCGCCAATAACGGTTCTTGCCGGGAAGACCAACAAAAGCAAATAACAGGCAAATAATAAAAGCGTGAAAAAGTGTTTTTAGCAGCTAAACGCTTCCTCTTTACAATAAAAAAAAAAAAAAAAAAAAAAACAACAACAATAAAAAATCAAAATACCAATAACAAAAACAAAAACAACCATAAGCGGTAAGTGCTTGAAAGAGTGGCTAGCCAACGTACGCGTCATCCGCAACATTGGCCAGCTGTCGGGCAAATATTTGGACAGCACACACACACACACATACATACATATATGCATCTATGTGTATATATAAGTATGCAAGTACACGTGCGAATGTGCCAACGTAAGTGACGCGAACGTGACACGAATGTGATTAGTGAGCGCTACCGTGAAACATTAGACCAATACAACAACAACAACTGTAACTAGCGGACAACCGCAATTTGCATAGCTGCCACACGCATGCCAATAAAGAATACATACAAACGCACACACAAACACCCACACATATATGCAAACACACAACATGCAAGCATCACCAGCCTCGCCGAGCGCCTCGCCGCCAGATTTCGATTTCAATCTGCCGTGTCGCTACTTCAAAAGCTCCTTCGCGCGCTCGCTTTCCATGTATAACGGTGCTGGCGTTGGCGGCAGCGCGGGCGGCATGGGCGGCGCTAATGATATGCAGTGCAAGTCGTTGGATTTCGATATCGGGCAGTATCGCCAAATTAGTGCTTTCAATGGCAACAACAACAACAATAATAACACTAACAACATTAACAACAACAATGTCAATATGGAGTGCAACAGCCTGGAGTGTCCACCTTTGCCGCAGCGCCGACAAGTGGCAACCACAGCGGCCGGCAAGAATGAGGCCAACAACTGCAACAACAACAGCAGCTGCAGCAGCAATGTTTACTTAGAAAGCGACGCCAGCAGCGATGAGCCGGCCGAGGAGGATGCCAAGCCGCCAGCAATACCGGCGCGCTGTCCCATTGTTGTCGCCAAATCAAAGTCAGCCGGCGCGTTGAATATACAGCAACAGCAACAACAACTGTTGGCACAATACAGGCATGTGGCGATTGCCGAGAATGCGAACGCAAGCGGGAATGCGGTTGGCAACGCAGCCACAGCCGCCATTCATGGGAATTTTAACAGGCCAATTAATCACAACACATTGCCGCCACAGCAGCAACAGCAGCAACAACCGCAGCAACAATTCAATGGCATGGCAAATAGTGCCAGCAACAACAACAGCAACCATGAAGATGCATTAGGCGACACAAGAGCTGGCAGAAGCCGCTGCAACAGAAGGAATGTTTGGCCTACAGACCGCGTTGACTCGCAGCAGCAACAACAGCATCACTATCCATCACAACAACAGCAGCAGCAGCAGCAACAGGTTTGTTGTTCAGCTTTCTTGTATTTTACGTGCCTCTAGGCACACACGCACACACACACACAAATAGATATCTAAAATTTATTCTAGCGCGCCTCCGTAGTCTCCGACTGTGGCTTTGCGCCGTTTAACTCGAGATTTTCCTCTGCGTTTTTAATTCATTTGTTTTTCTTTCAATTTTTCTGATTTTTCTGCGTACTGCTCGTGTGTTTTTCTTTTTGTTGTACTAAGAAGAATGTGCAATAAATTTCCTTTTCTGGTGAAATCATTTCTATTTCACGTTTTCATGTCGCGCCGTCAAATGCGAAAAGTGGGTTTATATGGTGGAAGCTATGTGGCGCGCTTCTTGCCGAGCGTACGAGAACAGCTATGCGCTCCATTTAGTCGCTAGCGCTCACGATAATACTTAGTCTATGAAAAATGGTTTGATCTTATAAGGAAGGGTCTATGTTGTTGGTTTGGCGGCCTGATTTTCCATAATTCAATGACTTCACTGCTCTTTTTCACTCAATTAATGTAATGATTACTCAATAATAAGTTTAATTACATGAGCATGTGGTGTATTGCGTGTGTGTTGTCGGTCAATCAGTACCAAAATAGGTAGACCCTCATTTATAGCAAGGTAGAACTAGTCTACTTTGATGAACATTTGTCTTTTGTAGATATATATTTGAGATCTGCGTTATTGAATTGGGTCATTCGTGCAGAGTTAAAACTTAATGTTATGGACTTCTTCTTTATTGGCGTACACACTGTTACGCGGTTATAGCCGAGCGCTCTAACCGTTCTTCCTGGCGCCAATTGGAGAATTAAACTGTAGCCAGGTCCTTCGTCACCTGGTCTCCCCAACGGAGTGGAAGTTTTCCCTTCACCTGCTTCCACCGGCGGGTATTGTATCCAATATTTTCAGAGCTGTAGTGTTTTCAACCATTCGGACAACATTACCTAGCCAGGATGAGCGCTGTGCTTAAATTCGCTGAACTATATCAATGTTGCCGTATATTTCGTACAGTTCATGGTTCCATCGACTGCGGTGTACCACAAGCCTTTTGTAGAACCTCTCTCTGGAAAACTCCTAAGCTGGACTCATCATATCTTGTCACCGTCCATGCCTCTGCACCATGTAGCAAGACGGGGATTATGAGTGTCTGGTAGAATTTGGTCTTCGTTTGTCGCAAGAGAACTTTACTTCTCAATTGCCTACTTTGTTCGAAGTAGCACCTGCTAGCAGGAGTTATTCTGCGTAGGATTTCGAAGCTGACGTTGGTGTTGGTGTTGGTGTTGAATGTCAACAGTGACGTGGCAGCCTAGTCGCGAGTGCGATGGTTGTTGATTCCAATGATTGTAGATTGAAGATCTACCTTCTCAATTCAGCTGTGCAGCTCGAATTAGATTGCAGAAAACGCACGATAGGGAGTTGCCTTTTCTGAAATCTCGCTTGGTATCTGAGAGATCTTTGCTCTGAGAGATCTTTGCCGATCCTGCCGAAGATTTTGGTATTACACAATGTCAGCATAAACGCACGTATTGGTTTTGCGCGGATAGCAAATTCAGACATCGTGGCATAAAGGCAGCTCTTTTTGTACTAACAGAAGCAGCTTTGAAATCGACAGAATGGTGGTATATGTCGATTATCTTTTCCAAGACTTGGCGCATGGTGCATATCTGGTCAGTCATAGATAACTTGATCAGAATCTCTTTTCTTGCTCTCTCACTTGTCAGCTGTCAGGGCACCCTGATCTGTTTTCTGAGCTGGCAGCAAAACACAATCAGGGTGCCGTCAACCAGCAGTTAATGAAAAAGGCGGAATGACAGAAGAGTAGCGCTATAATTAGTTGACGAAATTAGTGTGAAGTGAAATTTCATTGAACTGTGCGAACATATTTTGACAAAATAAATGTTTATGTATAATTTATTAAATACCCAAGCTAATATTTTTCAGCAGTGACATCATTGGCAAATGCTATAAAAAATGTGAGTTTTGACAACTCTCTCTCGAACCAAAGAGTCTCGTATCAAGTTATCTATGTGGTCAGTTGCTGATTCCACACTGATAAGCTCCAATACGATTGTTGACGGTGGCGTTTAATATTTCACACAATATATTGAATAGGCTTATTCCACGGTAGTTGGTGCAGATCACTGCTATTCAGCAAGCTGGAGAACTGTTCACTCCATAATTTCACTATGTTCTGGGCATCAGTCACTAGATCACCTCTGGTGATTCTACAAGAATAAGCGCTGGTCTTGAAATCTTCTGTTACTTGCCGCATCTTTTCGTAGAATTTTCGAGCATTACTCCTGTCGCTCTGCTTGTCAAGCTCTTCGTACTCATGCATTTCAGCCTATCTCTTTTCCTCCCATCCGGCACGTATTAAGGAAGACCTGAATGTAGATTTTATTTAATGTCTTCAATCTTTAAATTTATATTAAATTAAATTTTTACTTAATTTTTAAATTAAGTTGTTATAGTATAAATTTTTTTCTAACTTGAAAATGCCAACAACTTGTCGCAAGGAGACACTTCACAAGTGTAAACAAAATAAAGAGAAAACTAAAAAATGTGAATAAATGGCGCTTGCAAGTAAATAGTTGAGTCCATTTCTCAACAGCTTTTGCTAATTTGATTTGCCGCATCTCGCCAGCAGCACCTTAAACACGTCCAACACCCGAATACACTTGCGAGCGCACCTATTTGCTACTACACTTTTATTTCCACTTAAAATGTCAAAGCAAATCAATCATATCTAATTAGTTGCAACACCAAAAATGTGGACTCCAATCAATGGTGCCGCGGTGTCTTATGGCATGCCACCATCCGGCCACACTTTTCCACCACTGACATATAAATTGCGGCACCCCTTATTATGGCCTAAGTGACAAGCTACTCATATTTATCATAAAATGGAATGGAAAATTATGCGTGTAAACAACAACAACAGCTGTCCAGCCACCTGAATTGATTTATCACTTTTCACCGACTTTGACGTTTCGAAATTAGCCTCTGGCCTAATTTGCTACTGAAGAGTAGTACTAACGACTAACGGTATTTACTTGCATTTGATTTATTGAGAAAAGTGCATTTAATGCCGTTTTGGTAAGCCACATAATGTCATGTTGGCTAGTGATTAATCAGTGGATTAGTGGAGTGACAGGAAAAAGTTGTTGGGTAAAAATTCACAGCTTTCAAGACAAACAATTCGAATATAAAATGCGATGAATATAATGGATATTACAATATAATGAGAACATATTAATATATTCATATTAATCCAATAAAGGAAGGGAACAAACTATTAGGCATAACAAAATGGTTCTAATGGTTTAAATTTGTTTATCCAAAATAAATTTTAAAAGCAGTAAACTTAAAAAAAAAGTTGTCTTCTCGCAACGAAAACATCGTTCATAAAGATCGATCCGATCAGTTCTTAGAAATGCGAAGGAAAAGTCTTAAATTGGAAAACATAAAAGCCTGCTGTACTCACCGCAGGAAAATTAATATTTAATATTCATGACGTGCATGGAATTATACATCGATAAGAATATACCGTGGAACCCCTAGGAACTCCACAAACGTATGTAGTTTACAGATAGGCCTGCCGTTTTCTGCCACTCTCTCGTCCGTGCCGAGCAACTCCGTTATGGCATGGTACCATTGGAAAGGGCTGCCCCTAAGTAGTAAGTCGAGCGTGAAACGGCTTTACTGCCGAGAGTAACTCTAAACGTCTTTGTAAAGTTTACCTTCTTCCTAAGGCTGTCGCTTGGAAGAAGAGACATCGGTGGACATCTCCTAAGACATTGATTTGTTATGGCGACATTATCTTCCCTTTGCCAAAACCCTCTACTGCCATCTGCAGCATTGTATGCTTCACTGCCTGTTAGATGACCAGATCCAGCGGGTTGAGCGCCAGCATAATAAAAAATTTGTTATCTCCAGTCGTAAGAAGTGCAAAAAAGAACTCAATGTTGATAAACTGGATACAGTGCGAGCTTTTTGTTGTAATAATTTAACAACTTCACCATTTAACTTTCAAGTGAGGTTATTGAAACCAAAACACCAAAGGAATTTCCAAAAACAAAAATACTTATATAAAATTCATACAAGAATTGGAATAAGCGAAGCTCAAATATAAATGCATAGCCAGGAAAAAAGTTAATATTCATTTTGAAAAAAAAAAAATATATAATGAAAAAATTGCTCTTTATTTTTTAAAATATTATATGGGCACACGACTCCATTTAGAGTCAAAAAAATATTTTTCTTTACTCCATATACACCGCTTTATTTCAAATCATCAAATGTCTACGTTCCGGCGGCCACTTCCCGCAAAAAATTGTTTGTTACAATTTGTTTCGGGCAACAGATCTCAACCGATTAGATAAGCGAAGTAAAATCCAACACTTTATTAACGAAAACGAAAACTCTTGCAAAATTTCTTTTTTATTAAATAATAACTCACTTACTCTATAAAACGAGTGAAATCAGCTTTTGTGGCAATTACAATACGTTAGAAAATTTATGCATTCCAGTGCGTGTTTCGCACATTCAACCCTATCGCACTCGCCGTCGTCGCCAAGCAACAACATAAACTTCAACTTTATCGCCGAGTGATTAAACGTTTCGGAATTATGACGACATCGGCCGACATCAACGTCACTCGCGTGCGCAGCATATGCCAACTGATAAACGTAATGCGCCAAGTGGAAAATCGCGAGGCATGCAAAATTCCGCATTTTATTCCGAATGCAAAAAAAACCATAGCTATAATAACTACATGCACGCCAGTCAAAATGTCTATAAAGCGCGCCAACAAATTGTTTCATTGAACGATATGCAATGCATTAAAAGCAAAATTTTAAAAATGCAAAAAAGAAAATTGAAAATTTTCAAATAAGTGGAAATGCTGCGCTTCAAAAATATGCGGTTTTTAATTTTTTTTTTTTTTTTTTCAATATTTTCCATGAGTGTTTACATTCATATGCGCTGCTGGTGATTACTTATG